AAAATGGGGGCAGATACGATTACCATTCATCCAGGCATATCTTTGCGTGGGCAAGACAACTCTCCAATATGCAAAAGCATTTTTTTATAATCATCAATAGTGTCCCAATGTTGAGCAAGTTTTGAAATGCTGAATGGGTACACCTGTACCATAAATAGTTGTTTTGCTATGAGTGTGAGTATCATGCGTCGAAGCCCTGGTTAATTTTCTGTGCAATCGGTATATTTGCTGTGCAATTTGTATATTTGATATGAAAATTATATTACGACGCCCTCCGTGGCCGAGTGGTCTGTACGCCGGGTTTCATGGTGTCGCCGACTCGAGAGGTCCCGGGTTCGGATCCCGGTGGGGGCAAATTTTTATATGATGAATACGTGCATTTGTACTCCAGTCATGGATGTTTAATATGTGTTTCTATATAAATATACTTATATGTATATGTACAATATATGTATTCTATCCGTTACCCTAGTATCCCATAACACAAGCCTTTTAGTGCTTACTTTGCACTAGGCTAGGCTAATTGGTGTGTGTGTTGGAAATATTTATTTATTAGGGGGGGGGGGGGGGGGGGGCAGACTGCTCTCAACGCTGCCGACAGATGTATTATGTGCCCAACGTATGTTCACGAGGCCTCGGGTGACCTACTTGCACAGGCATTGTTGCTAGCTTTCAGGAAGTTGATGTTCTTCAGCAGTCTGGTGACATCGACGTGGTGGGACGTGACGGGGGGCAGCTTGTCCAGCTCCTTCACCACGAATGTAGGCATATCGCGTCTTCCGGATAGGTCTTCTTTAGCAGGGTGATTATATCCTGCACACTCTTCCCGGTTCCATCCCTCCGACGAGATGGCATTTTGTGGGCCTTGCTGACAGATCTGGGGGCTATTCGCCTAACGCCTGGGTTCCGAACCTGGGGGTAATTACCCCTCCGGGGGTAAATCAGCCATACTTCGGGGGTAACAAAGAACCTAATTATTTGGTCAAATCTAAATAATAAGAAAATACTATATAAAAATACTACTAAATAGAGCATGCGCTCCTTCTTGCTGGCGAGCCCGCGGGGTGCTGTGTAGGAAGCAGGCCGAGATTTTCTCCTGATGATGACATTATTAGAGACGAATATGTAGCAACCAAATTGGAATTTCTTGGACTGATGATAACATTTTAAAGTCGGGGTAAAATCTGTTTTCCTAATAAAAGGTTAGGAAACACTGGCCTAACGGGATTGCTTCGGAAAACGCTATCGCTTACGATTTCATTTTGTTATTTTGTTATAAGGTTTTCAAATACCTCACGCTCATTATCTTTTATATTGTTATTACCAATGCAAAAGAAAAAAAAGAGCGCGAGGCATTTGAAAACCTCAGGCGGCTAGAAATAATAAATAAAATCGTAAGCGATAGCGTTTTCCAAAGCAAATCCCGTTAAGCGAATGGCCCCCGGAACAGCAGCGCCTTGCCACTGCAAACCTCATCCTCCTTAAAGTTGGACTTACAGATCTGCAGGATGCTGTACACCTAGCACGAACCAATATCGAATTCGTATCGATTGCGAGTCCGAAATGTCATTGTCAAATGTCTACTGATTTTTAGTTCTCGTTACGTACTTTGTGCCGCTGCTGTTCAAGTTTCCATACAAAATTTGACATTGACGTTTCGGTTTGCAAACTATTCGAATTCGAATAGTTTGCAAACCGAAATGTCATTGTCAAATGTCTACTGATTTTTAGTTCTCGTTACGTACTTTGTGCCGCTGCTGTTCAAGTTTCCATACAAAATTTGACATTGACATTTCGGTTTGCAAACTATTCGAATTCGATAATCGGAACTCATTGCTACCGACTCACGACGGCTGTTGCCGTGTGGAGCGAGAATTATTAAGCGTCCACTCCATATTTAAAAATGAGTAAAATTCTAAAAAGTATACATTTTTATTTTCATGAACTATTCGAAATTCGAATTCAATAAACTTTTTTGTGGCCAGTATTCTAAAAGAAAAGTTTTTACTGTGTGACAATACTTATGACCTGACTGTGTATAATCTCTTATCTATTAGACAAGTCCGTCCGTCTGTCTGTGGTGCTGTTTCAGCGGCCAAACCGTAAGAGATAGATAAAGAGAATATTTAAGTTATAAGTTAAGAATAGTCTGATAAGACTACAAACCGGATTTGAGTAACGTAGCACTTCCGGTTTTTGAGAAATCAGGTTTTGGTGAACATTCGATTCACTGGTTTGCTAGTTAATTTATATAAGTAAAGTTGTAGAAGTACCTGTTAGCACTCCGAGCATGAATCCTCAGGAAGCCGAGGACGCTCCTAGAAGCCTGTGAGAGTCCCAGGAGTAATAAACACACTCTGGAAAAAATGGCATGCACCCCTCGTATGACCAACGGTGGTAAATTTCCGGATAACTCTGTAAAATTTGAACACAGATTTGAAAACAACCATAAAACCGTAAGCGTAAGCGAAGTCTGTGTAAGTGGATGATTTCTGACATGAGTTGAGAAAATTATTTTCACATTTTGCGTTTTATCATATTCGATAATGGTTTTTGATTTACACATCTAATATATGCATAAGTTTGTGGATATACTATTCAGGATTGATTTAAGACATAAATGAAGTCTGGATGTACAGTAGAACTCTAATAATAAGTGGAAAATCGGCCGGAAAATTTTTGGATTACCGGCCGTGAAAAACAAAATACTACACAGACCAGCCAGGGGATATATGAAATGTATTTTTTCAGCATGTTTTGATAGATCTAGACTTAAATAATATAATGGTACGGAACCTTATGGTTTTTGTACTATCTGTGGCATGCAATAAAGAATAAAGAACCTTTCGTTTGATTCGATTCTCACTTTTACTAAAACTACTATAATTTCCATAGTAGTAGATCTACTATAATCAAAAAAAAACATAGCTACTATGATTTTGTTTACTTGAATAATATAATACAGCGTTCAATAGGTGTGTCACGTTTTTTGTTTGTTATTTTGTTATTAGACAGATAAGGAGGAAACAACAGTCTCGACAGATATTATGTGTATTTTTTTTGGGAGCTCTATTTTTGAATCACTCGTCTTGCGTCAAACGCTCGTTTTCTACTAAATTTCATTCGACATAATTAATTCCGTATTTTTGAATCGCTCGAGTGCAACGAATGGGTGAGACCATTGACCATTGGGTGGAGGCGAATGATAGAATAATAGTCAAATTATTTGTGCTATTAGACGACGATAATCTATTATTGTCATGCTTTATATGAAACAACAATGAGAATTTTTTGTTCGGTTTTTATTTTTTCTGCGTGAAATAAGTAAAATTTCGTATTTCGTATCAAACAGGTACCACTGGTGACGAGTGATTCAAAAATACGGAAAATCAGTATTATGCGACTTGAATGATTTTCCGTATTTTTGAATCACGTTTTATTAACACGGAAAAAAAGACGTTTAAAAAGATAATGAGCAGTCATTGCCGCTGTGAAAATAAACGTATAATTCTCAATAACTGGTTATTTATTCTTTTGCCTTTTTTGTAAGAAAAAGATTAAAACGTCGCAACAAATCTTCATCTTATCTGTATTTTAAAAAGATTGAGAAAAAATCTTGAATATATCTGACATTTTGCAAATTATTCTACCATTCGCCAACACGCAACGAGTGGTCGAGACCGCTCGTTGACGACGATTCAAAAATACTGAATTAATTATGTCGAATGAAAATTACGACGCAAGGTGAGTGATTCAAAAATAGAGCTCCAGTTTGGACTGTGTCGTATGGATATGGACGCTGGTTGAGTCATTATTATTATACCTATGTCGCGTCGGGCTAGAAGAATGAGTAAACAAATAAAACTGTTTTGACTTTTCCTCAACCCATCTTATTGGGTAATTTTATTGGGTGATTCTGTGACCGATTTGTTTTCCTTATGACCTGCGCAGACGAGGGACTTTTTTTGTACGCGGACTTTTAGTCCGACAAAATAGATCGCTTACAACTGCATCGAGTAACGCACACGACGGATTAAAAGTACTGTGTACAAAAAAAGACCGGACTGAACAAAAGTACAGGGGTATCCGCGACAAAGATAGAACCCAAAATAGATATAATAGTAGGTAAACTACGTTTAAAGTGCGCTCGAGCAACGCACACATAGACACACCTCTCTTTAAGTAGACACTTTAGATTTAAAGAGATGGACCGAGTATTGCCTTTTAAAATGTCTTCTCTTTTTGTTCAACTTCGTGTCAATGCAATTTATCAATAAAGAACTAATAATAAATTTAAATATAACGCAAACTAATCAATAAAATATTCAACCACATAAGATAGAGATTTTCCGTTTCCTGACTTGTAACTTCAACTTCAACACTTGAAAAATTTTATTTTTGCCTCACTAATTGTATTTTTTTTCATTATTTTTTTTTATAATACCTACAACATTATAATTGCTTTGAAATCTACATACAATGGGTTTTTTAGAAATGTATAACACTTTATGTCTATGCCAACAAATCAATTTTAAAATAATGAAGCGAACAGACCTGTTTTTTTTTTTTAATTTTAACACTTTGTCGTATTAATAAAATATTCCAAATTTACTTCAACCAAAATTATTACATTATAGTTCCACTCTTATACCATTAAAAAAAAATTAAAGTGCGTCAGTAACGACATTAGTAAAAACGATTTTTGATATGCCGTTGTTCTACCATTTTCCATAGTGTGGGAATTCGTGTGCCCGGGTTCGTATTTCAGCCGAGGTAGGACTTTTATTTTAATTATTTTAAGTTTCACTTGCATCGTGGTTTTATAAAACCACACCAATCTTTATTACTAACAGAATGTTATATATGCTTTCTAATTAAATCAAAAACATTAAATTACAATTACAAAAAGGCCAATAAATCGCGCATCATACGAGAGTGTTTACATTTAACACTTCTAAAAACTTAATTTTCGTTGAATCTCCCGTACCGTATAATAGTACCGGTTCTCGAAAATGAGTGGTCGTAATCAATGTTTATAAGCGACGAAATGTATCAAAGATGATCACTTCCGATAGATATATTGAAGGATTGAGATTCTATATTCATAGTTAACTGGTCTATGCATATGTGTCCTGTGTAGAACCCACCACATTTGGGATAAATTCTGTAAGTTGATTAATTTGGCTAATTATCTTTACTAATATTATAAATTCGAAAGTGAATTTGTTTGCTTGATGTTTACTCGATCACGCAAAATCGGCTGAATGGATTTGGATGAAATTTGGTACACATATAGTTTATTACCTGGAAATGAGACATAGGATACTTTTTAACCCGAAAAATTTTATCCTGTGGGATACTCAAAAAAATGGGTGCGTGTACTTATGTAGGCGCGTGAGAAGTTATCCTTCTTTGGTATCGTTTAAAATTAGTTTTTAATTGCATGCAAATAATTAATTACAATAAATTAATAAAAAGTCTGGAAAAGGACGAAGTCAATAAAGTTCAGTTTTAATTTGAAAAAATAAATAAATAATCAAAATATTCAATCAAATTCACTTGTATGAAACTCAAACACGTATTCCGAATATACAAACTAGAAACATGTGGATAAATATTATAAATATGAATACCTATAACTGTTACTTTATTACAAAAAATAAAGATGTGGTTTTTGGTTCTACTACACCAATGGTCAAGAGATGGCTACAGCGCCATCCTCTCCTGAATCACGCTTTGGTTCCGTTGTTCCAGATTAATAAATACTTTTTGTTACTTTATTACAAAAAATAAAGATGTGGTTTTTGGTTCTACTACACCAATGGTCAAGAGATGGCGCTGTAGTCTCCTGAATCGCGCTTTGGTTCCGTTGTTCCAGATTAATAAATACTTTTGATAGGCCTTCACAATGCAGTCGTTAGCACCGACAAAATAGAGATTCTATTTCTATTTTGTTGGTAGATTTTCTTAATGTGCGGTAAACACAAAAGTAACGCATGAAGTTGGTCGCTAAAGCGATTTTTTTATGATACATCATACAAAAATACATACATCCCTAAATTTTCAACTTTCTACCACCAACCCCTATTTTTTATGGCGGTACGAAGTTCGCTGGGTCAGCTAGTATATACATATAATTGATACATGAATATGTAATGTAAGGTACTCTCCCCAACCATGAAACACCACAAATTAAGATAAAAAATATTTTTTGTTATCTTGTAATATATTAAATACTCGATGACACCCGCGGTTTATTAAGGATATTTTCCCAATTAATCCAGGTTATCAGCTAACTCCATACCATTTTCTTTTAATCTCTACACGGCCAAATCTCCCTATTCCATCCATAAGGAAGTCCTGTGCCCCAGCAGTGGGGACATTAATAGGCTGGTGCGTACGACCAGTGTGTTTCCAAGTTATATGTTTCCATACTAATTTCATAGTTTAGATGTCATAGTGCATAACATACCAAGACAGTAGAAGTCTGTGCGGAAAGAGAATGGGATTTAGATTGGAGGGCGCTGTACTGTTTTTCTATCGTATTTGTAAGGTTTTACCCCTTTAAGACATGATTAAATACAAAAAACCGCATGAAATCACAACAACAAACAAACAGTAGAAGTCTGTGCGCTGCGTAAAGAGAATGGGATTTAGATTGGAGGGCGCTGTAGTGCTTTTCTACCGTATTTGTAAGGTTTTACCCCTTTAAGACATGATTAAATACAAAAAATCACAAGAAATCACAACAACAAACAAATCCGTATCAAAACAAAACTTTGACGTTTTACAGATTGCTGGGTTTGATTGCCAAATAAAAATCTTAATGTTAGTTCCGTTTTTCGTCACGCCCATTCTCTTTCCGCACAGACTCTAACTGTAAAATCTATACCAACCTATTACATTAGCTGGTTGAACCGGACATGGATTGTATGTCAATAAAATTATTGTGTTTACAATTAAATCGGAAGTCATGCTGACGAGTTAAAAGTAATAAGTATGCTTGTTCAACAAATAAACTCAATGACAAGATACAAAATTTCACGTTTATTGACCTCGTATGTTGTAGGTATGTAGCTATACTTCATAGGACCGACATGTTGGTTACCATTAGAGGAAGATGCGGGTTCGAATCCCGTCTGCTTTCCTGGACGGCGTAGATTTTTTCTAGTTATTTTTTTTAGATGTAAACATATAAACTACATTGCTATTTCTTCTTCCAAATGTTTAATAATTTAAAGATATTTCATTTGACATTGTGGGTTAGGATGGCGCTGCCGTATTCTAAGAAATATTGGAAGAAATTAGCCATACCATGCTTGGTCAGTGAATTCAGTGCTGCGTATAGTACTTAAAAATAAACTTAATATATTTTTAAAACATTTAACTGTTTGGTGTTTAAATCTAAAGAAAATTATACTAGAAAATAAATCCACGCGGACCAGGCAGCAGAGGGGACTCGAACCCGCACCCTTCGCTATCCGGGCGAATGCACTGGCCATTTTGCTACCGCGGCCCTATAATTGTCAGTGTATTCGCCCGGATAGCGAAGGGTGCGGGTTCGAGTCCCGTCTGCTGCCTGGTCCGTGTGGTTTTTTTTCTACTACAATTTTCTTTATAATAAACATGTTAGTTTATCTTAAAGTCATAAATAATCAAGAATTTATGGGGATATTAAATTAAAGAGTGGGGAAGAGATAGTGTGTGGGGGTAGAGGATATTGGTGAGGGGATCAGCGGGCAGGTTAAATTGGGTAGATGAGTAGGGGTTTGTGGTTTGGCACATTTTTTCTGCCGCATCCAACATAATAATAATAACATAATAACGTTTATTTATTCTCACCACAATACAAATATTTTGTTACAGACATAAAATATTATTCGTATTTACAGTAATATATTGTGGAGAGACTGGTGTCTAAACTGGTGTGTAAACTGCCTGTATAATATATATCTCTCTTCATAACTCAATAAAATGCTATGGTAAAGATTTTTTTATCATTCTATCCGTACAATAAATAAATTGCTTGATACAAAAACAAATAAAAGCTTACGACAAGTTATTTGCTTGTTTATTCCCTTTTTTGACTTTGAAGTTAGCGTTATGTTGTTGTGGCAAAGAATGCCACTTGACAACACCCACACGCTCTTCGCAGTATTTGATACAAAAATCTATATTCTATATTTTATGTATTTCACTGACGTTGATTTTTATTTAATTTAATTTTTTATTGACATATTTATTGACTTCTTTTTGTAGTTCACAGTATTTAAATAATAATAATAATAATTCATGTAATTTTATAACAATGAAATGTTAGTTTTGTTTAATAGAACGACTACACTATTGAATTATGTTTAAACCTGTTACAATAGTGTAATCTGTTTTGAATAAATAAATAAAAATATTCGTAAATATTATTAGCTATGAATCATGAATACCGGTTCAGTGAATGCCAAACAACTTACCTACTTTTGATAACTTAAATTTCAAGTTTAATGCCAGATATAAATATTCTTCGAGCCATATTCAAGTGATATCGAATTGGAGCGCCCACCTGGGGAAGTAAAATCAAAATAAATAAATATTTCCAACACTCACACCAATTAGCTAGGGTAACGGATAGAATACATATACTGTACACATTTAAGTATATTTATATAGAAATACATATGAAACATCCATGACTGGAGTACAAATGCTCATATTCATCACACAAACATCTGCCCCCACCGGGATTCGAACCCGGGACCACTCGAGTCGGCGACACCATGAAACGTCAGGTCGTCAAAGTGTCGTCGTCGTGAGGTAACCTTCACCTAACAGAAGAACACAATAAAATAAAATTACCTTTTGGTGATGTTGTGTCTCTATTGTTGAGTAAAGTTCCATCTCCCTATGCCATCCATAGGGAAGACCTATGGCTCAACAATGGGGACATTAAAAAGCTGATGATTGATGATGATGAATTTATTTAGCCATAAAAATAGGGGCAGGTGGTAGAAGAGAAAATTTAGGGTTGTATGTATTTTATAATAACACATTATATAAAAAAAAATGACCAAAAAATATTTTAGGGGTGTGTAACGGAGTGTTCTATCAATTTCCTGGGATAGCATTCTTCCTAACCCATATGAGAACACTACGTTACAATACCCAATAGTTTGAATTTTGGCGCGAAGGCGCATTGTAGGTTACAGGTGGACAACCATTATCACTTAAGGATATGAAAAATAGATAGTAGCCGATTTTCAGACCCACGGAATATGCATATAGAATTTCTTAAAAATCGGTCAGGCCGTTTCGGAGGAGTATGGTAAAACTAACATTGTGACACGAGAATTTTATATATGTACTAGCTGACCCAGCTGACAAAAATAGGGGTTGGTGTAAGAACGTTGAAAGTTTAGGGACGTATGTATTTTTGTATGATGTATCAAAAAAAATTAAAAAAAAATATATCTAAAATTGAAAAAGAAAATTAGGGGTGGATTACCCTTAACATTTAGGGGGATGAAAAATAGATGTTGTCCGATTCTCAGACCTACCCAATATGTACACAAAATTTCATGAGAATCGGGAAAGCCGTTTCGGGGGAGTTTAACCACAAACACCGCGACACGAGAATTTTATATATTAGATAAGACTAGCTTCCGCCCGTTCGCTTTAACTTTCGTTTTTTTACCTAAAGCTCCATGTCTCAATTCTAGTAATAAAATGTGTGTGTACCGAATTCCAACGAAATCCATTCAGCCGTTTTTGCGTAATCACACAAATATTATAAAGGCGTAAGTTTGTGAGTGTGTATGTTTGTTGCTTTTTCACGTCTAAACCGCTGGTGCGATTTTAAAAAAAATGGCTAATAAACCGCAGGTAACACCGCGGGGAACAGCTAGTTAAGTAATAAATATACAAGTATACATACTTTCACATTTATAATATCAAAAGCCGAATTCACATTTTACTCATCGAGCACTTATAATATGTCTATAACAATCTATAATAAATTATACAATCATTATACAATCTCTTAATGGAGTAGTATGAATAGATATTTTTTATGGGTTTTAATTCATTGGATATAACAAATTATATCACAATAAGGAATTATGAATAAGACGTCCTCTCCTCTTCCAAATGCGATACCCTACACTACAGGGTCCATAATGCACTTTTTATCTGTTAATATTACCACCTTTGTATCTCCATTATGGTCTGCAATAAATGAATTGAATTGAAATCAGTGGCATGAAATTGAAAGATGATGGCCACCATAGCCAATAGACGCTTGCGATATCAAAAACATCACTCACAACATTGCCTACCCAGACCCAAACCCCTACCCTGTGCAGCCCTAGAACCTTACTTATCGACAGAACCACAACATCACCAAAATAATGTTAATTTACTCCGATCTTCTATAAGATGGAGGTTACTTCCACAGCCGGGAACTCCAATTCGAGAGGGAAATCCTCTATGCCCTACCTCTCTAGTTCACCACAGATTTCTTAATATAAATTCGGGATTTGTAGTAAGAAGTACGATAAATTGCCAAGTAAAAAACAAAAAATTTCGTCACAGGACTGCAAAATGACAAGGTGCCACGTAAACGTGACGGCGTCGATGATCGAGGGCATGTCCGCAGTGGACATCGCCGGGGAAAGCGTGGACGTCATCAGCGACCAGGAGATTCATACTTTCGGGCTAGGAGAGTCACCTCTGAAGGACGCAGTGGAGAGATACTCCGGCGGCAGACCCGGCGACGTATACCTCAAAAGCCCGACACCCTGGAACGACCTGTACAAGGTCTACAACTGGTCAGAAGTCAGGAGGACGCTGTACCCACGCAGCGCTAGGGTGTTGGGTGTCACTTCGCAGCCAGTGATAGTCTCAGTGCAGGAGTTCAGTAACCACAGTTCTGTGGTAGGCACTTACAACGCAGGCATCACGCATCAAGTAGAACAGACAGTCTCCAATACTTGGAGCAAAGGAGGTGAACTAACTGTCGGTACTGAGATATCTTACAACATAGATATGCAAGTTGCTACGGTTGGAGGCTCAGCAAGTATGTCATTCGGGTCCAGTTGGGGTCATGACAGGACTAATAGTAAGTCGGTAACCGTAGGAGCCAGCTCTGCGATTGAAGTGGAATTGGCTCCTGGACAGGCGGCCATAGCTACCTTACAAGCGATCAGAGCGACTGTCGAAGTTGAGGTGGATTACACGGCCACTTTACATGGCGCCGTGGCCTGCAACTACCCTGATAAGCATAACGACCACCATTTCTGGAGTTATGATATCAACGAAGTGATGGGCGCGGCTGGTATGAATAAGAATATCGACTCCACGGAGAGGATGAGGATCGACTTCTATTCTGATGCCAAGGTTATGCTCAGAGACAGAGATACGAACGCCGATTTATAGTTTCCTCCATAAAGCCTCGATGACACGGGGCAAGTTCACAAGCTACTGGCGAACTCGCTGGTTTGTAGCTTGTGAACTCGGCCCGTGTCATCGAGGCATAAGAAAGTGGGTATTTCCTTTCGTTAGTGTCGCCGCACACGGGCCACCGACCACAACCACAAAACGCCGCCACCGGCATATTTCTTGTAGTTTTCATACATTTTATATGGACTCGCCACACACGGTACGCCGATGGCCGCCACACGCTACAAATCGTCGTTGCTCGCTTCTTGTGGCCCGCACCGGCCACTTAATGCGTCTATACAAAACGCCGCCACACGTCACTCGCTCGATTCCCCACCCCTCTCTCCCTTACCTTAGTCGGCCGCTGTCGCGCGTCAGCCACTTTAGTAGCCGCTTCTAGCTTCTCGTGGCGGCGTTTGTAACTGTGGCGTGTGGCCCGTGTGCGGCGACACTTAGTCGTTTTGGCTGTTTTGAAAGTTGACATCAGTCTGTCCTTATCATGTTCCAAAAGGAATGAAAAGGACAGACTGATATTATGTTTACAAATAGCAAACACGAATAATCAAGTGAAATGCGGAAATGTGAAGTGAATAATAAGTAGATTGTATAAATCTAAAGAAAATTTTACTAGAAAGAATTCTGCGCGGATCAGGCAGCATACGGGGCGCGTCCGCGGCCATATTTTTCAAGTAAAATTTTCTTTAGATTAAACCTCTAGCAGTTAAATGCTTCAATAAAATTTTATAAGTAGATTGTAATTAGATTAAGTTATCTTGTTAATATTCTAGTTTTTTGTTAATATTTTTTATTTGTAGCGTCAGCGTGTACTTTGTATCTAGAACACGCCGAGCACGGAATTTGGCAGCGCTGTTGTAATATTTTAAAGAAATATATTTTAAATAAATCAAACAAACATTTTAGCATGTCTCACATAAAGTGACGTTTATTCATATTCTTTTAAATACTTAATCTATGTACAGCCAAGCCAAAGAGGTTGCATATAAGTAAGTATGTATATAAACTATTCCTACGACAGCTGTTTTCTCCCGTGGCGACTAAATATCTCCGTGAATTAGTGCCTCTTGAAATTTCAATCAGTGAGATCCACTTGTGGAAGGCCGATTGAAATGTGCAATCACGGAGAATCACGTCGAGCTCCTAGTGACGGGAGATGAGAAATGAAACAGCCAGTATGTCGCTTGATAACTAAGAGCGTAATTTATTATATATTAACATCTTATAAACTAATTTTTCTAACTAATATTTATGTGCGTCAGCTGTAGATTCCGTGCTCGTGTTCTAGATACAATGTACACGCTGACGCTACATATGCATAGAGATGCATAAGATTATATGTGTGTGTGTGTGTGATAATAAATGGTAATATTTTAAAGAAAACTTTTACTACAAAGAATTCAAATTAGTCTAGGTTTCAAACATGATTCGAACCCGCATCTTCCGCTATCCGGGCGGACGCACTCACCAATTATGCAACTGAGACCGTGTCGAAAGCGTTACGCGTTAAGAAAAGTGTGTTGAGCGCGCGCACATTTCTTTCTCTCTTTCTTTTATTGCTAGTAAATGAAATATATATTTGTACATACATGTATATATTGTACACATCTATTATACTTATAATAAATCTGTAGAGAGGTCAATTCTGTACATGAAATATATTTTCAAAATAACTATCAGTGGGTGATTACTGATCGATACTGATGCCAAAAATGCAATCAGTAAAATTTTTGTCTGTCTGTCTGTCTGTCTGTATATATGTTCCTTATAGAAACAAAAACTACTCGACGGATTTTGACGAAACTTGGTACAATTATTCTTCATACTCCTGGGCAGGTTATAGTATACTTTTCATCACGCTACAATCAATAGGAGCAGACTAGTGAAGGGAAATGTTGGGAAAACGGGAGAAGTTACTCCATTTTTTAAGCTTCCGTCGCGTGTGCAGCCTTAGTGGTTAAAGTTACATAGCAATCATGTATGACGGAAATAGTCTACATAAAATTGTCTAAAAAATATCCCGCAACAGCATATGTCTTTATCTTTTATGGTTGACTCACAATAACACGTGTAATTATATAAATAAAGTCATTGTTTATAGCACAAGCCTGAGAACAAAAACTATAGTTTACACTACAGCTCTACACCGAAGCGAAGCGAGGGCGGGCCACTAGTACCTACATAATAAAGTTTTAATTGCATAGCTCTCACTCACTTCATGCACGTCAGGTTCACGTCAATGACTCACTGATGAAAATTAACATTCTTTAGGTATTTCGGACGACCTCCGTGGCCGAGTGACGACCTCCGTGGCCGAGTGGTTTGTACGCCGGGTTTCATGGCTGTCGCCGACTCGAGAGGTCCCGGGTTCGAATCCCGGTGGGGGCAGATGTTTGTGTGATGAATACGTGCATTTGTACTCCAGTCATGGATGTTTAATATGTATTTATATAAATATACTTATATATGTACAGTATATGTATTCTATCCGTTACCCTAGCATCCCATAACACAAGCCTTATAGTGCTTACTTTGGGGCTAGGCTAATTGGTGTGAGTGTCGGAAATATTTATTTTATTTATATTTATTTCCTAATATGCACTGAAACGAGTACAAGTACTGTATAAGTACTGAAACAAGAAAAACAAACTTTAATCCCCTAACCCCTTAAACTAGGGGATGGAAGTTTGTATGAGGCTGCCGCAATTTTGACGCTAGAGGTCTGAAGATTGATATAGGGACTCCTTGTTACTGTAAATAATAAAAAAATGGGTGCGTGTACTTATGTAGGCGCGTGAGAAGTTATCCTTCTTTGGCATCGTTTAAAATTAGTTTTTAATTGCATGCAAATAATTAATTACAATAAATTAATAAAAAGTCTGAAAAAGGACACAGTCAATAAAGTTCAGTTTTAATTTGAAAAATGATTGAAGTTTAAATAAATAATCAAAATATTCAATTAAAATCGCTACTGAATATAATTTATTAGAACATATGTGATTTGCACTTGTATGAAACTCAAACACGTATTCCGAATATACAAACTAGAAACATGTGGATAAATATTATAAATATGAATGAATACCTATAACTGTTACTTTATTACAAAAAATAAAGATGTGGTTTTTGGTTCTACTACACCAATGGTCAAGAGATGGCGCTGTAGTCTCCTGAATCGCGCTTTGGTTAAGTTGTTCCAGATTAATAAATACTTTTGATAGGCCTTCACAATGCAGTCGTTAGCACCCACTAAATAGAGATTCTATTTCTATTTTGTTGGTAGATTTTCTTAATGTGCGGTAAACACAAAAGTAACGCATGAAGTTGGTCGATAAAGCGACCAACTTCATGCTGTTAAAATTTTGTGTTACAGTGATGCGCGCGCATCTTAAAATTTCACTCTCATCATTTTTTTCATAACGTGCCTAAAGAAGAATAACTTCAAAAAATCTAGAGCTACATGATGTGCAAGAAATAAACCGCAAAAATACGAAAATAATATTTTAACTAAATTGTTACAAACAACTTCAAAAAAGAAATGAAATCCCGTTTCGTTTCTTCTAGAACTCTTGTATAACAGAAAAGTAATGAACATATAAGTGAAGCATTATCATTATATCAGCCTCTTAATGTCCCCACTGCTGGGGCACAGGCCTTCCCTATGGATGGAATAGGGAGATTGGGCCTTGACCCACCTTGCGGGCCCAGTGCGGATTGGTGGGTGCAGATGCATCCGGGACCAACGGCTTAACGTGCCTTCCGAAGCACGGAGGAACTCGAGATAGAAATTTTTGGTCACCCATCCAATGACCGACCACCGCGAATGTTGCTTAACTACAACGATCGCAGCCGAACGCGCTAACAACCTGGGCCATCGAGCTCCTTAAGTGAAGCATAGTAAATGATAATTTTTTCACGTGAATGTAACGCAATGGTGAAGCTACATATTTTGACTAAGATGTAGGGCCTTGTAGAAATGTTAGAAGCTTGGCTTTACATGGTCTCGTTTTGGAAACAGTTTAGACAAAAATGAATTTGGTAGGATTACATTATTACGTTTCAACAAAGAAGAAAGAAAATTAAATAAAATAAGTTTCAACGGTATAGATGCACTTAGGGTTGCCACCCGTACTTTAATATTAAGTATTGTACGTTATTTCGGGTAATTATTGTAATGTAGACTTTATGCCAACAAAAAAGTACGCGAAAATACTTTATTTAATGTGATTTGATTACTTGGGGATTAATTTTACATAAATATGCAAAAAGAGTATAGGAAGAATTTTTGCCTAAAACGGAACAACAGTATGTATAATATGTCGCCCTTAGTTCATTCCTGCAACATTGTCGCGGCTGTATGGCTTTGTACAATGGCCTTTCCCATTGCGGATAAGAACTAGAGATTTTTAGTAACCACAAATTATTTATTAAAAGTAGCGTAAAATATATTTTTAAGCTTACCTACTAATAAAGTGGAATAAAAAGTACTTTATTTTGGACACAATGTACTTTATTTCTATCTTTAATATCCGATGTACTTCATTTGGACATAAAAAAGGTGGCAACCCTAGATGCATTGATTTATTTATTTTATTGGCGTTGCTAGGCTAATAGGTGTGAGTGTTGGAAATAATTATTATTTATTATTATTATTACCTTAACGTCAACAGTTTTACAACAACGCTAAATTGAAGGAAAACACTAAATATGGTGTTGAATTACACACCGGAAGCTGTTTATAACATTATTGGGGAGCTCGATGGCGTAAGTGGTTAGCGCGTTTGGCTGCGATCGTAGAAGTTAAGCAAGTTAAGCAGCAGTGGTCGGTTATTGGATGGGTGACCAAAAAATTTACTATATCGAGCTCCTCCGTGCTTCGGAAGGTACGTTAAGTCGTTGGTCCCGGCTGCATCTGCAGTCTTTAGCACCTACCAATTTGCACTGGTGTGTCATGGCCCAATCTCCCTTTTCTATCCATAAGGAAGGCCTATGCCCCAGCAGTGGGGACATTAATAGGCTGGTGATGATGATGATGAAGCTATTTATTTATTTATATTAGGTGCACTAACAGAAACAGTCAATACATGCTAAAATGAAAATCATAATTGAAGTATAATAATAAGTTTGGGTAGTGTTCAGAAATAGATAGAAAGCTTTAATGTCATAAATAAATAAATATAAATATTTTCAACACTCACATCAATTAGCCTAGCCCCAAAATAAGCACTATAAGGCTTGTGATATGGGATACTAGGGTAACGAATAGAATACATAAACTGTACATATATAAGTATATTTTTGTAGAAATATATATTATACATCCATGACTGGAGTACAAATGCTCGTATTCATCACACAAACATCTGCCCTCACCGGGATTCGAACCCGGGACTTCTCGAGTCGGCGACACCATGAAAGCCGGCGTACGAACCACTAGGCCACGGAAGTCGTCATGAGTACAATTGCGTTACTATAGTTATATAGTTAAGAAATGTATATTTTTTCAAACTTTTTAATAGAGTCCGACCGAAACTGGTTTTCCGGCCGAAACCGAAACCGAATATTCGGCCGTGGCTTCAGTTTCGGCCGAAACCGAAACCGAAACTCACGTGATCAAGATTAAAATTCCTTAAAATACTGAAATTTGGTGCATTTTACCGATTATTCAGCGTTAATTAGGACATGACATGGAAACACAGTATATTAATTTTGTTGTAGGTAATCATTTATTAAATATTAAAATAAAAAAAAATATTAATAATATTTTTATTATTTTTTCAAATTAAGTTCTCATAGCAACATTTTTATCAGTTATCAATAATCAATTCACAAATTGTTACTGTTTCATTAAACCCATTGGTATTTTGAAATCTTATTAATTAATACTTTGGTTTGTATTTGTACTTAGAAGAATCATCAATCTCTTTTATCTCAATATAGGAAACTGCACTTCTCAATATAGGATATGGACTGCTGTGCGAGAAACGAAGTAAGGCGAGCGTGCACGACAACGTCCGAAATCAGTTTCGGTTTGAAACTGCCGCCGAAAATTAACTTTTTAAATGAAAAGTTTTTATTTCTTAAGTCACTTAAATCAAATTGGTCAAAAGTTCAAATAAAAGTTATGTGTTATACCTACGTGTGTTGCGTGAAGTTCGGAAAAAAGCACTAATTTAATTGGGCTCCCGTAAATTCCGTAATATTAAAAGGAGACCTGTGCTTGGCCCCAGTGGCGGCGCTAGGCGTCGGCGACGTCGGCCACCGCCGACGGCCTCGCGCCTGAGGGGGCCTCGCAAAAAATTTTTACAAGTTACCTATTTATTTTCGTTTCTCCTGGCCTGGCTTAGGTAGCCGACCCCGAACAATTCGGAGAAAAAGCGAAGCAGATG